CTATTCCGGTGAAGCTGAAATGCAGAAGAATGCGGAAAATTGAAGTCACCATGCTCTGAGCATAGTGATTTCCGTTTTGTTGTCCCCTCCATTCTTCTCTTTTCAGCTTTAATGGAATGCTTTATTGCCAAAATGATTCGAAAATAGCTGAATAAAGCTATTGATTTAGCCTACACAGCTAAATCCCTTTCCCGCGTGCTGCTACGCCGCCACGCCTCCTTCCGTCGCGTCGCGCGCGAGTCCGGATTACATCGTTGATAAGCCAAGGCCCTGTTATGATGGGAGGTCGCCGGCCCGGCCCGGCGTTATCGGCGACGTCACGCGGGCCGCCAGGTACTCGCCAGCTCATCTGACGCATCGCTAGTCGCGAAGAAAGGCGCGAGCAGCGGGGCGGCGTTATCGCCGACCTGGAGGTAGGTGCGGCCACGCCCCCTCGCCCGCGCAGCAACGCCAGCAGTCAGCGACGAATCGAGCGCTCTCTGGTGGCGACTTGACTCAGGCGCGTGGCCGACTGGCCGCCATGACAGGACCAGGACAGAAAGCAGCGCCATAACCTCCACCACCAAGGTCGCAGTAGGCTACCCTTCTACTACCGCAGCCAGGGGCTTGTCATCACAACTCACTGTTAAGAATTGTAGAAAAGGTAAGGCTAGTCTTCAGTCAGTGTGCAATGCACGGACTCAATGGACAACTCGCCCAGCCCAGAGAGGCGGAAGGCGAAATTGTGGAGTTAAACAACAAAGCACCATAACCTATATAATCGCCGAACTCTTCAAAATCGCGGTTTATGCCCTATACTCGGCAGCTTGTGGAGAAAGATGTGCGAGGGATGTGGATGTGGAGTTGGTGTATACATGATTGTGTCTACCCAATCATTGTCTCAGATTGGGTGTGATTGTCTCTGATTGTTTCAGATTGTCGGTTAAATATTGTGATAAATTTTACAGAATAGGGTATTTCAATGGAGCGCTGCCCGGAACTAAGAAGAACAAAACCGGATACAGAGAGCGGTGGTGGGGGCGGGCGAGCGGAGGAGCGGAGGGCGGGCG